GGGTTAAGAGGTGCAAAATCTACAGATTGGTAAGAGGTGTCAAAATTAGAGTTGAGCAGACACCTGGATGTTCAGGTCCGGTGGGTTTGGCTTAACTTTGAAAAAAAGTCCAGGTTCAGGATCGAACTTGACCCCGAACCCGAACCCCATTGAAGTCAATAGGGGCCCACTTTTGGGCACAAAAATGACTCTAAAAAAGTCCTGGAAAGGGCTAGAGGGTAGAAGTAAATGGGGGTAAGAGTAGGACAAGTGCCCTGCAAACAAATGTGGATAGGGAAATCACTTAAAATAACATAAAATACATAAAATAAGCAGCCGCTTAGTAGATAACTCCCTAATTCCCACGGTATTAGGGAAATATCTACCAAAAGGCTGACAGACCTAAACTGGTCTTTCAGCCAAATTTTCTAATACTAAGTAAAGATTACTTAGTATTAGTAAATTCAGCCCCTACTCGCTATACCACGAGTAAGGGCGTGTCTAGTAAACAGTGAGCAGCCAGGGACTGCTCACTGTAAAAAAAAAAAAAAAAGTATTGCCCCCACCCTGTGCGACAGGTGGGGGCCCTAAATAAGAATGTGGAGGGGGGGACCTACTGTCCTCCCTCCCAGCCCTCACCCCTGAGTGGTGGGTGGGGGCCATAAATAAGAATTTGGGGGGGACCTAATGTCCTCCCCCCTGGCCCCCACCCCTGTGCAATGGGTGGGGTCCCTAAATAACAATAAGGGGGGGACCTACTGTCCTCCCCCCTGGCCCCCACCCCTGAGCGGCTGGTGGGGGCCCTAAATAAGAATTTACCCTCCCCTGGTGACTAGGGATCCCCAAACCCCTAGTCAGCCCCCTCCTCAAAAAAAAATTACCCCTACCTACCTCCCTCAGCCTAAAAATAATGAGAGGGGACCCTTATCTAAATACCTGTAAAAAAAAAAAAATAGGTATATACTTACCATTTGATGTCTTATTTCTTCTAAACTCTTCTTTTTTCAGCCAAATAAAAATCCATAATAACCCACGCACTTAAAAAAAAAAAAAATTGGAATTTTCCCACGCTGTGTAAAAGGACACAGAGCACTCTGACTGGTTAGCTTGAAATCCATCCAATCAGAGTGCTCTGTGTCATTTTACATAGCGTGGGAAAGTTCTTTGGAATTTTCCCTCGCTGTGTAAACTGACACAGAGCACTCTGGTGGATTTCAAGCCAACCAATCAGAGTGCTGTGACAGGTAAATGTAGAGACTTACCTGTCAGTCTCTTCATTTACCTGTCAGAGCACTCTGATTGGATGGCTTAAACCCACCAATCAGAGGGCTCTGAGCCTAATTGCAGGGTGGGGCAAGGCTTTATAAGCCTTCCCCCGCCTTGCAGAGCTCAGTCTACGCAGAGCCCTCCATGGGTGAAGATGGATTATTTTTTTAAATTTTTTTTAAAGTGCGTCGGTTATTATGGATTTTTATTTGGCCTTATTTCGCGAGACTTACACTGTAAATAGAACGGAGCTGACAGAGGAGCTGCACGGAGGAGAAAGGAGCTGACAGGAGCTGCAGGAAGGTAAGTAAGAGCTCACTGCCAGCCCCCAACAGGACCGCCGGGCTTGTAATGAGCCCGGCAGGTCCTGGTCTGTATTGTGGCAATGTAAGTTGCCATAATACAGACTGACTCGAGTATAAGCCGAGATGGGGTTTTTCAGCACAAAAAATGTGCCGAAAAATTCGGCTTATACTCGAGTATATACGGTAAGTTTCAATGTTCCTAAATTCAGCAGTTGCCCTTGTTACAGTGCCGACTTACCATCACGTTACTTTTATGGAATGCTGTTGAGTTTAGTGGAGCAACTAGGGTTCCTGATTTCTGTTGGAATTCTAAGAACTTATGATAACCTGGAGTTTATGTTGTGAGAAGCCAATGCACCAGAAACCTAGCTCGAATTTTACATCAGTTGAGTTTGAGTACAATCACCGCTGAAATAGAAAGAGACATGTCTGAGCTACTTGCGATATTTGTGTGTAACAACTTATTGCTTCCAATGGTTGGCTAAAACCTTTCTAAAGACGCGCGTTTACTAAGCACCAAATTGTACTGAATTAAAAACTGAATTGTACAATGCAGGCTTAATTAACCAAGCTATATTAGGTAACTCGAAGAATGTTTCCAAATCAACGCTCTTTTTTGAATACATTTTACAATTTCATTTTCAGGGCACTACTATTCATTAATTATTGAATAAATCCCAAAGTCTTTAAGCAAGACTGAAATCTTGCTTCCACAAATAATTCAATCTATGGCTGCCTTCTATGCATACTTAGAAAAAAAAGTCCTCTGTCAAAAATACATTTATTGTCATTGTCATCTGCAAGGGGGTTCAGCCACTAATGACCTACTATGGTTCTCTGGCCTACAGCCACAAGCAAAGGGACCATGCAACAGTGATTATTATATAACAGCACGGCTCAGTTGCATACTTATTTTTTTAGGTCACTACGTGTTAATGTTTTCCTGTTATTTTTTATTTTATTTTTTTTTACATCTAAACTTCTTAAAAAACTCAGAGCATTAATCTTAATTGGAACATCTGGGATTTGCCAATAATAAAAAAAAAAAGCATGGTGTACTTAGATATATTCCTTCGCTCCCTCCTTTAACTAGCATCTTTTGCCGTGAGCTGCTCTAAGGAATAGGCAGAAAAAGTTTATTCCTGCAACGGCTGATTGAAGTAAGGGTTGCCATGGAAACAGCATCTGCCCTACAAACTTGAATTTCGCAGCCAATAAATAAATAAAAACATATTGTACGTGCGGAAAAAAAAATAAAATATATCTATATATACAGTGTTGACTTTTAAGTGAAAATGTAAAAAGAAAAACACAAATATAAAATGTTTTAAAAATGTATTGGATAAGGTATTTGTGCATTAAACTCAGGACGCTGTGTTGTTATGAAAATATACAAAATTCTTCCTAATCATATCTTGTTCTTCCTCTTTAAAAAAAAAAATATATATATATATATAAATATATATATATATATATATATATATATATATATATATATTGTAGCCGCAGGCCTTTCTTAGCTGTTACCTGCTGATAGAACGAAGTCTGGCTGTGATTGATCTGATTACAAAACCAACCCTGGAGCGTGTTGACTTCTTTAGAGAAGAATTAAATATTTGGGGTTGAGATGCCCCCTGCCTCCACTCAGTCCGATATATTGACTGAAGATATTCATTATTTTTCTTTAAACAACATCTTATAGAAGTCAACACACCATTTTATCGGCATGACTCCTGTTCTTTCGGTCAAAATAGAAAACAAGGAGTATAGATTTATTCTTTATAGTGGATGTATAGTTACTTTTGCTAAGAACTAAGACCTTAAAGAGAAAGGGTTATATTTAAGTTAATGAGTAAGAAAAAAACTTTGCAAGAACTCAAAATTCTGTTAAGGATCAAGTCAGTTTTGGTTAAAAGGATAATCAGCCTGGTATAAAAGTATAACAAGTGACTATCCACATATTTAGACCAAACTTAAAAAAACAAAACAGCAAATCGGTTAAAATCGGACATTGTAATTTGTTACTAACATGAAGAATCTTATATTAAAAATTTATAATACTAGACATTTGTTTGAAAACTAATCGCAATTCATCTAAGTATTGGGCGATGAATGGTTCATCCACGTCCCGAACTCCAAATCACCATATGGACAAATCATGGAACAATTTAAATGGGAAATGGACCAAGCATTTTGTCTGTTTCATGATTTGGAATTCTGTCCATGGTGCCAAACAAAAAGATGATTGATGGAAAAATATATGATTAATGGACAGGGGACAGCCAATAAATGCTGATTTTATTCACCGATCAAGCAAGAAGTCATCAATAGAGGGGTGGGAAAGGAGGAGGGTTAAAAAATGTTTAAATTTTTATATTATATATTTAATGTATATTCATACATTGTCACTGACACAATACAAATGTACCCCATTTTTGGCAGGTCCTATCCTAGCAACCTATTGCCTGCTCTTATGGGATTAATACACTTACTTGGGAAATCCTTTGCCCTTGGACTCTCTGCGATGCAAGTTTAAGTAAGGCCCTTGAATGAAGCACCTGTAACAATGAGGGTGCAAAACCAAGTGAGGTGACCTGGACTCCCAAATGTATTTACATATGAACCCAGGAAGGCTGCACTCACCTAAACATGCATACATTATAAGGGCCATGCTGGGGACAATTATTAAAACATATAAGATCCAGGACACTCACTCATTCACTCGGCTACAAAGCTCAAAATTCTATAGTTTAAAAAGAAAAAAAAACTTGCCTTATTCAAAAATACCTAAGATTTGGGGGTTGGAGGGGGCTGTGTGTGTGTGTTGAAATAATACAGTGTCTGTAATACATCAATGTGGACCAGTTTTTAAACTCAAGGCTCTCATAGCTAGAGACATGTAACACAAATTTGATCTTTGATCACAAAGGTGTCACAATATCTAAAATGATATATATGTAAGAAGTCTCTTTGGGAAATCAATTTAATGCTGTAATTTCTTTTAATTTATTTCATGTGGCAAAGATTCAAAAGCTTTGCACATTTTAATGTATGTAGTAGGAAAAAAAAGCAAGAAATGACATTACATCCATTGGTGATGTTACAGAAAAGAGAATTTTAAGAGTTCCCTAAGCTCTTCAGAAACATATTTACGAGTGCATTGAAAATAATGACCAGCATTATGTATCGAGACTACTCTGAGTTACTGCTCAAGATAACTTTGGTTCATAACATTTTTTTATAATGTTTGTTGTAACCAAAATTGGGCATACACACTGTTTGACTATATAAAGTCCTATATTACTGCACATTAAGCCATTAAATCTTAAGATGGGGGCTGGAGCTCCTGCAAACAAACCTCAAATCTGCCCGATATCAGCGGAACACGAGCCCATCAGCCTCCAAAAGCATAAAATCGGACTCTGCTACCCGAGCTGCACGCGTCGATGCCCTTCTTACAGCCGCAAAAACAGCCTAAGCGGCGACGGAAAACCGAGGCCTACCACCCTCTCCAAATCCCCAGCCTCGCGTCACTCTTTGGCGGAGACCCTGCGGAACGGCCGAGGGCGTCCCCATCACAAACATCGCCCACCACACTCACCATGGGCCGTAAATCACAGAGACCCACCACAGGGTCGGATACCAGGGACATTGGGGCGCTACTCCAGAAGCCCAAACACACTCAGGCCGTAGACCAACCGGACACAGAACCGGAACCGGACCGCCACGAGATGGAGGTACCACATCACCCCCAGGTGGTAAGACCCGCACAAGCGGACCCTCTGGATGAATCAGCCCCAACAACTAGGGGAGACCTGAAGGTTTTATTAGCTGATATCCACAAGCTCCTGGCTGCAGATTTAGCTGTATTTACAACACAGCTACAGGCCGTAACAGAGAGAGTCAAGACCACAGAGGGGGCTATAGCAGATACACAATCTGCCATGCAAACCATGCAGGACTCTATCCACCAATTACAAACGCACCAGACTACCCTGAACGCAAAACTCATAATACTAGAGGATAGACAACGCCGCGCAAACATCAAAATAAGGGGTATTCCTACGGCAATATCCGCGGAGGAACTTCCCCACTACACCCGACGCCTCTTGACATCTATATTACCTCCCACGCTGGCCCGCAAAATCACAGTGGACAGTTTATATCGCATCCCCAATACCACCAACACTAATACCAACCTGAACCGGGATGTCATCCTGCGCTTCCACTCAGTACAAGACAAAATACATGTCATGTCAGCCGTGAAGGGCAAAACCCCTCTTTTATTTGAGAATGACACCTTGAACTTCTTCCAAGACCTCACTAAAGCAACACTGCTATGGAGGAAAACCTACGCACCGGTAACATCCCAACTACGCACGGCAGGACTGCCATACAGATGGGGAACCGACAACTCCTTAACGGTCACCGCGGAAGGAACTACGCATGTCCTCCACACCATGGCCGACGCAGCCTCTTTTTTGAGAAAATTGGGACTACCCATTCCAACCGATAATCATACGCTTCCTGAGAGTGCCAGAGACCCGGCCACCATCATCCCCTTTGTCCCACGCACCAGACGGACACCACCACCCGTACAGTGACAGCCCAAACCGGCACCTATGGCTACACAATCTAGCCCACATTGGAAGGCTCTGGCCTCGACCCACCTGGAGAGGACATTGATATACGAGGGAAACCTCGTACTCGGACGCAACGCAGTTATTAGAATTTAATTTTTATTTTATTTTTTTTTTATTTATTTTTTTTATATTTTATATGTATTTTTCTTTTTCTTTATGTTTTCACACCCCTATCCTGACTATAAGCAAACCACACTCCAACCGACACACTGAACACAACACCAGAGAGTCAATGGGGCCACACCCCTCCTCCCCCCCCCCCCGCAACCCCCTGGGTTAGGGGTACCACGCATATCAGCTACCGCTGAAACAGCCCATGCACACAGGCCACACTGACAAACCACAACCCAAACTGGGAACCAACACCATCACATAAGCTGACACAGGTTACCTACCCAAACTCCATGAATCACTCACACGACAATGTTTCTCTGTGTTTCACGACTCCTATATATTTGTCTACAGAATGTCTAACATGTTGACCTTGTATATAATTGTTAACCGTTGAAAAAAAACAAAAACAAATGTGCATACTGCTAGACATACCTAAGCTATATTGTACATGCATAATTTAAGAATGTCTTTGTCCTCTTGATATTTCTTATGCACAACTAAAATAAAGAATTTAAAAAAAATAAATAAATAAATAAAAAAAATAAAAACAAAAATCTTAAAATGGGTATGTGATAGATGCTGTTTGAGTTTAATGGGAACGTACTCGATAAATAAAAATGGCATGATTGCATTAAGAATATTAGTAGTTTTGCATTTTGCTTACATATTGCTCACCACGCATACAATATCTTAGAGTGTTTGTGCACTCTAACAGCCCATATTATGGCCTGTCTTCTTGCTGTTTTCTGTCTGGAGGCTCCAAGTTTGACACTATATTACACTATAGCACTAGGGTAGGTAACCTTCACAATCTACAGATGTTAAGGGACTACATCTCCCATAAATGGAAGATCAGCATGGGAGATGATTTTCTGAAGGTTGCATACCCCTGCTATATCACATTAATCTCTGGGTTGGGTATTTTTCTTAAAATGTGGATCACTATCTACCATTTGGTCCAGGACCGCCCTATTGTCTAGTCCCATGAAAGATCCACATCCCTTGGATTGGCTAGACTCCAAGTTATATAAGTGCTATGGAAATCAGCTTGTCAATGCAAAAACATGGCTAGAAAAATGGACTTCTCAGTCTACTTTATGGAGAAATGGTAGTTAAACAAAGGCTTTTGTACAATTTGTCCTGCTTTAGATTCAAATAAAGATGTGTCTTTAACAGATTTCTGTTAAAAGAAGTCATGTTTCATATATTACTTTCTAGACAATGCAACTACTATTCCAGATTCAAGTCATGTTATGTTCCAGATTGTTTTCCAGTCCTGTCCCAGACCATATAATCCAGATCCTTTTCCAGTCCTGTCCCAGACCATATAATCCAGATCCTATTCCAAGCCATGTAATCCAGATACTATTCCAATCCTGTCCCAGGTCACATCAAGTAAAGTTCTGTTCCAGATATTTCTCAAGTAAATTACCTTTGTAGACAAGACGCTATTCAGATCCTGGTCCACACTGGTTCCCATTCAAACTCTAGTCAAGCACTATCTTGGTCATCAATCTGACAGTTCCTACAGACTAATAACTCCTCCAACTTACAAAACTTTTCAAGTATTACCAAACTGTAAGCATTACACCTAGACTAGTCTTGCCTGAATATGGTTTTTACAGAGATTTCTTCATGATTCATGGTGAATTGAGACGCTTTAAGAAACTGCTCCATCTTGCCATTTCCCATTATCATTCAGTTGCGACAAATGATGGGAACAGGAACCTTTTCATGTGATGCACAATAGATGCCTTTGGCAAAAATCTGTCTGGTAAACGTGTCACTGTGGTGGGGTCTAAACACAGCTATGGTGGTACTAAGATATAGGAAGTGACAGTGCCTCCTTAAACTACCGTCTTCTTTTGTTGTTGTTAAAAAAATCAACAAGTGTATATACTTGGTTTAAATAATACCTGGCAAACTACCGGTATATTTTCTACTGGGCATATGTTTGTACAGGACCACCTCAATCTGCCCTTTTAATTTCTATGTAACCCCCAAAACATTTTTTTTTATAGATCGTAAGCACTTTGGGTAAGACCTCCTCTCACTTTGTTCTTCACTGTCTAAATTTGCTTTCGGAACCAAAAACTTGTATGTTTCGTGTTATGGATAATTTCTTTTTAGCTGGGAATATTTTGGCTGCAGTTCCATATGATCCAATCAGCACACCATCCTTACAGGCCTGGAGAATAGACTCAGACACAACATCGCTGTGAGGTCCAAATCAATTCTGAGTTTATTGGTATAATATAGAATCTTATCATGTCGCCTTACATCATATTATAGAGACTGATAATTGTCAAAGATTACTCATAGTCTCAAGACATGGTTCATTTATCGTTAATTGCCTAAATTCGAACTTAGCAAAATCAGCTACAACGACAGGAAGAGTTGCGATTTGGTAGGTTACTTATTTTTTTAAGTATTTATATATTATAAAGAAGACATCTGTTAAGAGCAGATTTAGGCAAATGATTACAAATATTTTATACGATTACTATTTAATATTATACGGATAATATTTCTAAGCAATTATAAGTAGTAAACATCAAAATGGAGGGTGAACTCAAAATGGCGGATTGATTATATGATTTTATCCTATGATTTTGTCTTCCCATAGAACAACCATAATATAATGGAATGTTATAAATAACCCGATAACACTGTATTTGTAAATTGGCATCTTAAAGAAAAAAAACAAAAAAAAAGATCCTACCATCAAGATCTGGAAAAGTTATTGAACGACATGAGAATCAACTTACTGTTATTTTCTGAAAAGCCAAAAGAATTAACTCTCTCCTCATTGATTCTAAACCCTGTGGCTATAATTTTTGGTTATGGATTTGATATTATCAAATGCATGCAATGTTCCAAGCAATCGGGTGTCTGCGACCGACCAATCAGAAAACATTTTCATCTTCCATTCCAGGAAACCTGACTTGAATATATTGATTACAATAAAAAAGCCAAGAACAACAACATATTATGCATTACACCTTGGGGAAATCCTGCAGCTAATAAACACATCACAACCAGTGTTTGTAGTTCAAATCAAGTAATAAATATGTATATTTTTGTACTTTGTGTATGCTGACATATAGATCACGTTATAGCGGAGCTGAAATCAATTACTGATTCATCAATGCTCCCGAGTATTTATGCATGGAGGATGGCAAATATTATTTGTTTCTGGTCGGGGTTGATTTAAAAGTGCATCCTGTTGACCTTACTGCAAGTACCAGAACAGTATCTCGATTCTTGTTTGAAAAGATTAATGGATGAACAAAATCATTGCAAAACCTTTTACACACAACAGTTTTACTGGTGCAGAAAGCAGAACGCAATTCATCGGATTTAATTTTCATTTTTATTTTTTTGCTTGATGAAATGTGAATTCTTTCTACTGTTAAAGGGGAACTAACACTACCCTGGAACTTGCATCATTGAATAGAACATTGATATTCACTTATAACTCGTGTTAACCCGATGCTCTGTTTTATTTTAAATGTATCTTAAAGATTTAGCAATCTTTTATGTCACAATCCAGTTGAGTCTTGGCACAGCCAAGGCACAGATGGCATTGGAGAAGATTTATCAAAATATCGCTGATACTTTTCCATCAAATTTTTGGTAACTTTATGCAGCAAGTTATTTAATCTGTCTGGATTTCTTTTCACCTGATTTTTTATTTTGTCTTCGCCAACGCAAATTTAATCACCATTTTTTTTTAAGTTACAAAAATGTTCTATTTTGTTTTCCTTTTCCCCTCCACTGTAAATTTGACAGACTTCTGAAAAGGAAAGTTCAGCAAAAAACTGTCAGAATTTACTATGAAGAAAACCATAAGTTTTTAGATCACTAAAATAAATGCAATCAAAAATAATGAAGTAATTTAACTGTCCTTTTTCAGAAAAGTTTGATAGATATCTCGTAGTGTTTCTGTTTCACTTCCTTCACATACTATGTCGAAACAAAGGAAAGGGACAGAGCTTATAACAATGACCACACCTCCCAAGGATGGCTTACTGCGAAGTGGAGATTCAGTGCTACGGGATCAAAGGGTGTTGCCCAGTGACACAATTCATTTCACTGTCTCCACTCAAAGAAGTAGACCCTCTGGAAGGGGGGCATGTCCTCCTGTAGAATTCATCCATGGAAGTCACTCGTAGAAGATGGAAGAGAGGACATTGGTGTCACATACGGGTGGGCATGCCACCATTGGTCACAGAATGCTGGCATCAGTCAACAATCTTGCACAGAAGTCACGTTAGCCACACGGAACTCTAGGTGGAGTTAGCAGAGGCGTCAATCTTCATATGTGCAGTGTTTCATAACAAAATGTTGCACTACAGACACTTCAAATCACTGAAGTGGACATGGTGTTTGCAGTAACCCTTTAAGAAGATTGTTCTATTGCATTGTCTAATAAATAAACCCTCTGAAATCCATGGAGCCAATCAGTACCTTCTTCTTGTGACATATGACCAGGACTCTTTTCTAGCCACATGATCAGATACGACAATTAATATGTCTTATAGCAAATGTTAAACTGATTTCAGAATTCATTCGGTGCAGTTTTAAAATACTCATAATGACCAGGATAATGCTTTCTAATTATATATTTGGTTCTAAAATTGTAATAAACAGGAAAACCGCAAGCATGGCACCTTTAAAATCCTTTTTAATTGTCCAGTTGGTGGCAGTTGGCTACACCTAGACATTTTAAGGGCCAGAAACACTTTATAAAAACATTTGTTTTGTTCTGTTTGCCAGGCAGGTAAGATAAAATGCAATATACAAAATTAGATATGTACAATTAGATTCATTAGGTCCCATTATTAAACCTCCAGAAATGCTAAAAGAATGTTAGTGGCAAGACAGCCACAATAAATTAAGTTTAATTATTAATAAACAATAAGAGAAGGAC